ATTTTGTTATCTTCTCCAGTTCTTTCTCGTCTATTCTGCTGTCTCCAGGCACTGCCACGTCCACTATCCAGACTTTTTTTTGTCTTTCTGATCGACAGTTGTTAAGTCTGGGGTGTTATGTTGCAGGTGCTTGTCTGTTTGAATTCTGAAGTCCCAGAGCAGTTTAACTTTATCATTTTCTATGACTACTACAGAAAAAGAGCTAGTTCTGACCCAGCTCTCAGCTAATCATCTCCTAAGTCACACCAAAAAGCTACGCCAAGCAGAACAGTCAGATGCCTTTCTGCATTCTTTCCAAAGTGTCTACACAGGATGAGTACCTGGACCCAATCTTCCTTATCTCCTCAGTACAGGTGAGTTCCGGCTTCAGCTTCCTCATTTTGTTATGATCCTTTTTTTAAAGTCGTCACCAGGAGGCAGCAGATATCCACACCGTGAAAAGAAGACCACAAGTGCTGGCTATTTGCTCCAGGTAACCTGGCTGGGCTACCTCTGCGACAGGAAGAACAGGTGTAACAGGCCACACCTGAAATGTACAGCAAACATATTGTAATATTAGCATTGCAGAATATTGTGCAACAAGCTTTTCATGACAAAACATTTTCAAAAGCTAGTGCGTTCGGACACTTCTTAGGGCACTTTTTAGTATTTCACGCACTTACATTTTAAGGTCTTGTACTTGGGGAAATGGAAATGGGCTGATCACATAACAAGACGAACCAATGGCAGGAGGACCAAGCAAGGCAGTCGTAGAATGGATCCCAGTTGATAAAAAGCATCCACGAAAGAGACCTATCTTTCCATGGGTGGAGAAGTACAAGTAGTCCTTGACTGATCACCACAATTGAGTCCAACGTTTCTCTTGTCAAGTGAGACATTTGTTAAGTGAATTTTGCCCCATTTTATAACCTTTCTTGCCACAATTGTGAAGTGAATCCCTGCAGTTGTTAAGTTAGTAACATGGTTGTTAAATGAAACCGGCTTCCCCATTGACGTTGCTCGCCAGAAGGTTGCAAAAGGTGACCACGTGATTCCGGGACACTGCAGGATTTCCATCTGTGGACTCCTCGCTACTGTTTCTCTTAGCTTGTTGAAGTCAGCTCCAAATCTAGAAGAGTAATCTAGCTACTATGAGTTCTCCTTGCCTGCAGTAGGGTGAATTCCAGGAATTTATGCTCATTCTCTCCCAAGATCACTCTTACTTTCTTCTTCTTTGACTACTACTTCATTTTAGTAAACATTAAGTTTCAATATGGATGATCTAGTTCAGGGGTAGGCAACCTTGGCTCTTTTATGACTCATGGACCTCAACTCCCAGAATTCCTGAGCCAGCATGGGGGAACTACGGCCCCCTCATGACTCGTGGACTTCAACTCCCAGAATTCCTGAGCCAGCATGGCTCAGTTTGGAAGCCTCTCCCTTTCCTCTCAGCACGGCTGGCTCAGGAATTCTGGGAGTTGAAGTCCATGAGTCATAAAAGAGCCAAGGTTGCCTACCCCTGATCCAGTTTCTTTCTCCAACTTTTGGATTAAAAAAAATGGCTGAAAGGCACATCAAGAACCTGTGGGAGCTCTTACTTTCCAGAAAATTTGATTCCCAATTGATATCAGGGTAGTTGAAATTCCATGTTATCACAGGTGTGTGTGTGTGTGTGTGTGTGTGTGTCTCTGTGTGTGTAAAAGATACCTTGGTCGTCTGATTTGCAAAGACTTCATCTATGACTTCTGCTCGTAGTCCACACCCACAAATAATTCTACTTGGTTTTCTTTTTCCCTTAATATTCAACCAGATACTTTCAGGAGAGTTTTCATCCTTGGGATCACGAAAGAGAGTCCACGTGATGTAGTGTTGACAGTGTTGGATTAAAAATGGGGGGACAGAGTAAAGGTGAAGCCTTCTTTCAATCAAACTCAACTCCTGGTCATGACTATTGGGTTCTTCCAAGGTTTTAATTCCAATTTCACAGCCACAGTCCTGGGATTTTCGGCTGGTGTCTCCATTCCTGTTGAGCTTTTTGAGATGAACAAAGGTCAGCCAGAGACTGTCATCAAGTTACAGCAGGTAAAACTGGGGAGATCCAAGTTTAAAAAACTCACCTCAGAGGAGTTATTAGAAAATCGTGGGATATTTTTCTCTCTGTAGCTTAGATCATTGTTAATTTTTAAGTCTGGAACTTGCACTGTTGATGATCTCCTGGCTGTCGCTCTCCAAAGAGTTTGGCTTCTGCTTTCAGTTTTAAAATCTAAGACACATCTCCGTTTTCTTTCATAATAATGATGTAGCTGTGTGGTTTAGTCTGTCAAAAATAGGAAAACCAAGGCTCAGCAGAAAACAAAGAGGATGTGAAACCGTGATTGAAGATCTCTCAGTGCTGGCAGTGTAGTTGAGGCATTTTCTGTCATCTTCTACTCTGATGAAGAGGCCAGCCCTCTTGCTGCTCCAGATGTAGAGGACGATATGCACCCTTGAATAACAACTGGATAAAGCCAGTCTGTGGGCTAGATCAAAATGACTCCACCTACAGAAATTGAAGATCACCTGCCGATGTCAGTGGCAAAGATTTTCGTCTGTCTGATCCTGAGTTTTTCCTTTGTCCTTGGAATCCCTGGAAATTCTTTGGTCATCTGGACCATTTGTGGACGAATGAAGAAGAAGCCTCCAACCGTTGTGCTCATCCTACAACTGGCCGTGGCTGATCTCCTGATTCTTCTGACCCTGCCAATCTGGATCTATTCTTTTGCCAACCAGTGGCTCTTTGGGATCGGTGCCTGCAAAGGTCTGGTGTTTGTCATTTACTGTAGCTTGTATGCCAGCATCTTCTTCATCATGTGTCTCAGTCTTGAGCGGTTCCTGGCTGTCGTTCATCCCTTTGCTCTTCAGCGATGGAAGAAGACGATGGTCATCCACCTGGTGGTGGTCATGATCTGGTTCTTCTCCATCGTCCTTGGATCAGCTATCATCCCATTTCAGGCCATCGATGTCACTGTAGGGGACCTGCAATGTACCACTCGTGAGTATGCAACTAAATCACAAGAGGTTATCCACCTCTTGTCTGAAACTATTTTGGGCTTCGTAGTTCCCTTCACCGTCATCTGCACCTGCTACGTCTACGTGGGCAAAAGAATTGGGGCCATGGCTTGTCCATCAAAACGACGCTCCACCAAGTTGATTACCTCCGTAGTAGTGATTTTTTGTCTGTGTTGGTTCCCCCACCACTTCTTCAACCTCATAACAGTCATCTCAGTTCTGCTGCAAGACTCAAATTCAGAGACCGCTCAAACCTTGAAGACGATTTCAGAGGCAGGAGCGTGGATTGCAGGCGCAATTATTTTTATTAGCAGTTGCATCAACCCGCTCCTCTACGCTTTTGCTGCTAGGAACATTCAAAGCAGTGCCAGGTTTACAAAGTTGTCCAAACTCTTCGAACAAGTGGCCCCTTCGGAGAGGCAGGGGTCCAACCTGGAAACACCTTCTCCAGATGAAAAAGAGGAAAGTTTGACAAGCACAGAGATTGTCTAGTGCCAGTGCCGGGAAAAGTGTCCTCAGCCTATAGCGAGGACTTTTCCTAAAATTTAAACACCGTTCTTGGCTTTCGATGAGTTTTTATCAAGCATCTAAATCCTATTCAGATTTGTTAATATGAAAACTGCCCACATTTCTCTTGATTTTTTTTTTCTAGACTGGGTTCTATATTTGTCTGCTACTTGGGTGTAGAATTCAGTGCAGTTTTGCGCAGTACACAGCTCCAAATATCTGCTAGGTTTTAGATCTTCAAAAAGGAGGGACGGAACCACGCACTCCAAAAGTGATGGGTGTCACAACTGTATGAAGCCATTGGTGAATGTAACGTAATGCAATTAAATGCACTCTGGTTTTGTCGCTTCACTCTTGGACTGTGATCCTGCTTAGACGAATAAAAATAGGATTGTCTTTAAAGATTCTTTTTGTAAGGAGGATCTGTGTTGCATTATTGACTATGGCTCTTGACAATATCCAGATAGTTTCTCCAGCCCAGTATTTCCTGCTTTTGGTTCAACTTCACAAGTGCTGGAGAAATCATCAATATTCTACGATTTGCTGATATTTTTGTATTGGTTCTAATGAAGGTAATTGGTCAACTGGTAATTGGTCAAAACATCTCTTATCTGCTTTTTGTACAAAAGGAGTTTATCGATTAATGAAGTTTGAGCTAATTAGATGTTTTGGCATATATTTTGGCATGTATGATAAAATAAAATATGAAGTTTGGGGGCTGAGTCCCACAAGGTGTAGCAGCACAATGTTTTTCTAGGGGAAATTTCATTTGCCAGTGAACGATCTGATTTATTGTATAATTATGGGACGCATTATAATTATTTTTAAATTTAAATTTAAACCTCCAGATTACACCCTTTCCCCTCACTCATGCAAATTACTGGACAATCTTTTATGAAAGGAGTGAAAACTATCACAACCAGAAAAACATGGATAGCTTAGTCTCATCTGATTCAAAGATGGTTTACCCCCATGAGGCTGATGGAAGGCATTCTTGATTTTTAGGAAACTCCAATGAATTTCCTAGCATCACATCCAGGATCTTCTCAAATTGTTCTGACCTACAGAGCTTTATAGATGCACAGAGCGTCAGTGAACAGTTGAAATTCCCCTCCAGAGTTGCGTAACTTTTCATCCATTAGAGGAACAGAAAACTCACAGCTTGATGGATCAAACATTTCTTAATTTGTGGTAGTGCTGCTATAAAAGCTTTGTCCACGGCTACTAGTTAAGGTCTCATTTTTGGAATTTCAGTAGATGCTTACCAGTTTTCTTGGGTGTTGGATTTTACTGGAAATTCTTTCATCTCATAGTTTTATTTGGGTGGTGATTTGTTTGGATTGGATTGGTGTGTGTATGTGTGTAGTAGGATCTGCTTTTGTAATTTAGTACACTGGCATTTTTTCTTTTTGTAAACCTCTGAACATTGTGACCATCAAGCTAAAGTTTAATAAATAAACCATTATCTCCTTTAAATTGCACTCTGCCGCATGGATGTTATTGGCTATGGATCTTTCAAGTTGTTCTGATTTAGAAAGAGTGACAAATCTACAGTGATTTGTTCAAATGTTTACATCATGTTATGGTGGAAGAACAAAGCCCAGAATAAAATCAGTAACATTGTAGAAGGGCATAAAATAACTTGAGGAGATGGATTCTCACTAGTTGGCTGAACTTGAATCCCATTAGAACCAAATGTAATTTCATAAACTATAATTTAATGTGCCTTAAACATTCCCTTTTCAACCTCTATCTTTGAACGATAGAACTGTAGGAACTTAAAGAACTCATTACTCAGAGGAATTACATTCCTGAGGAGGCTTCTGGTTATCCAGGCTAAGAAACAATACCTTGCCAGATCTTTGGGAAGATGGGGAAATAGTTTACTTTTGAGTAACAGCTTTTGCTTTTGAGTTGAGTTCATCATGCAGTCTTCCAAGCAACAATAGAGAAGTGGTTTTTCGCTGAATTGGTTTCGTTTCTTTTGATTTGTAAACTTCTCGGTCTAGTCTACATCTCCGAAATTTCCAATCTTGCTTGTTTTTTTCAAGGTCAGTGTAGCTGGTCCCCTTTGGAAGGAATGCCCACCGAATTTAGAGAGCCAGTTTTCTTAAGAGTCAAGGATTAGAAGATTCTGCAGTTATATCTTGGTGACAGCCACCAAGGAAAATGTTTGCCTGTATTTAATGTTGGCGAAATACTTTCCATTGATTTTATCAGTTGGAGTCAGAGACCGTTTTGTCCCAGAAAAAAAATAGTTTGTCAAACTAAGGTCACTTAACAACTGAATAAGCTTCAGAAAGAAAGAAAAAAAAGTATTGAAAAAATATCCAGGCAACATATTAACTTCCAAATTGTAGAGTTAACTTCCAAATTGTACTGTACTTAAAAATAACTTCCTTATTCCTACTCTACCAATATAATTTCCTTTTTTAATACAACTACCGTATATATTTGTACTCTGCGATGTATTATTTGTATTGTACAAGAAAACAATTAATTTAGGGGAAAATATAGAATTAAGAGGAAGAACAGGGAACTTGGAATTCATTGCTAACTCAAAAGACAGGTTTGGAAGTTAGCAACAAATTCCAAGTACCCTGTACTCCCTCTTAAATTTATTATTGAACTGCATGGGACTTCAAAATAAAGGAATATTTTCAAACAGAGGACCGTTCTGTTCCTGCAAAGATGGTTCCCAGCCATAATTCTCACACTTCGCTAGTTAAAGGAATCCTGGGACTTGATGTCCACTCATCTTAAAATTGCTAAGGTTGAAAAACAATGCTATAGATCAGGGGTCCTCAACCTTGGCAACTTTAAGACCCGTGGACTTCAAATCCCAGAATTCCCCAGCCAGCATAGCTGGCTGGGGAATTCTGGGAGTTGAAGTCCACAGGTCTTAAAGTTGTCAAGGTTGGGGACCCCTGCTATAGACCCTCATCCCTAAACAAGTGCAAGGACGCTTCATTCCTGGCCCTAAGAATTTTCCTCCGATTTTTCTTCTCCTCTGAAAGAAATTTTCAAAGCAGATTTTTTTTTTACAAACTCAGAAACAATGGATAGAACAAAAAAACAATTTTTTGTTAAGCACAGAAGTAATTACAGCACTTCACCAAATCATAACCAAATCAGCAGGATTGCATATCTTACCTACTCCTAGGGTGTGTTTCTCCTAGTTCTCGTACAAGCCTGGGAACACAGCTATTAGCTGCGTCCCCTCCTCAACACACCCAGTTTTTTCTGTGCACCCTTCTGGCTCCAGTGAACCTGTTTGCTGTTCCTGGGCCCAATCCACTGTACAATCACTCCCAAAGAGAAGGACGAGTTATCCAGTACGAGAAATCTGGAGCATGTGCTTTATGCTTCATTGCTCATGTTTCAAAATGCATGTATTTATTATTTTATTTATCTATCCTATTTAGAAACCGCCCATCTTCCTCATTGGGTGACTGGGTAGTTCTTAGTATAGGGACAAGGGCTCTGTGTAGGACAGAGACAGAGAATAGCCTATTTGACATATTCTCTCTGATTTCCATTAAATCCCAAGAAAAGATGGATACCAGGGAGAAAATTCCACTGATTAATTGTTTTCACTGTCAGGAAATTCCTCCTTAATTCTAGGTTGCCTCTCTCTTTAACAAGTTTCCGTCCGTTGCTTCTTGTCCTGCCTTCAGGTGCTTTGGAGAATAAGTCCACCCCTTCTTCTCTATGACAGCCTTTCAAGTACTGGAAGAAGTTATCATTGTCTTCCTGCTCTATCACCTCTAGTCCTTCTCTTTGATAGGCTAGTCCAGGGATAGGCAACCTTGGCTCTTTTATGACTCGTGGACTTCAACTCCCAGAATTCCTCAGCCAGCCACGCTTAGGGGAAAGGGAGAGGTTTCCAAGCTGAGCCAGGCTGGCTCAGGAATTCTGGGAGTTGAAGTCTACCCATCTCCGAGTGGCCAAGGTTGAGAAATACATGCCAGGGGTAGGCAACGTTGGCTCTTTTATGACTGGTGGACATCAACTCCCAGAATTCCTGAGCCAGCCACGCTGAGGGGAAAGGGAGAGGCTTCCAAGCTGAGCCAAGCTGGCTCAGGAATTCTGGGAGTTGAAGTCCACGAGTCATAAAAGAGCCAAGGTTGCCTACCCCTGGGCTAGTCGCACCTAGGTCCCTCAACCATTCATCATATGTTTTAGCCTCCTTTATCATTCTTGTTGCCCTTCTCTGCATGTTTTCCAGGGTCTCCATTTTTATTTTTTATTTTATCGTGGTGACCAGAACTGGATACGGTATCCCAAGTGTGGCAACGAAAAGCAAAACTCATCCCCGGAGGAAGTTGGTTTCGGTGTCCGGTGTACATCCAGCATTTTTCTTTTTCCTGTTGTTGAGTAAAGTCAAGTCACAGACAGATCAATAGACTGCTGGCCAAGTCAAAGGTATAATTTTTGAAATCCTCTCCTCTCCCACCGGGCTTCATCGGAGACTTTGCGCATGGGTGAAAAGGCACTGATCCTGATCACCAGCCGGCTGCAGCCCCAACAGTAGGAGGATTGGATTCCAGTCACCTCCGCCACAGCCTATTATGCATGGATTATTGACTACAAGAAACTGTGAAGAATGACCCTTCCGTTTTCCAGGTCATTGGACAGCTAACAAATCCTCCACTTGCTATTCAGCAGCACAAGACCCATCTCTAAACAAGTCCTCCCCTGCCACCAAACAGGACAGCCTGCCTAATACAATAATTAGGATTTAATATCATCTGAAGCTGAGGAAGGGTTATCTGAAGTGACGTCTTTTCCAATTAGCAGGCAGAGATGTGCCATTTTACACTAAATGTGTGCTTTCTTAACAAGGGCGAGATTTGTATCGGCAAGCGAGGTGCTCTTAAGAATGCCTTCGGTATGGTTTTTAACTGAGTGCAGTTGTAATAGCAACAACATTGTCCAGACTATGCCGATTAAAAGCCTTGCTTAGCCACAAAGTTTTATGTTAGTCTGCTTCCTAGCAAAGTTTTCCCTGCAGGGTTTCTGTAATGGCCGAGGGAAACTCAGATTCATC